TCCAACTGCGGATTTTAAAGTGGCTAATATGTGATCTAACTGAAGAGAAAGTGTATCTGATTGAAAGCATTCTCTAAATTTGTACTGTCATTTACCAAAACATACTCATTTTCTTTGGGGGAAAAACTCAAGTCTAGAACTAAAATCAAATTGCAACTGAAACAATAAAAGTTCCTGCAAAAAATACTAAAATGCAAAAACAATGCACTCCAATAACTAGAAGACCATGGAAAGGAAGATGGATAGGAGGGACAAAAAGGACATTTCCAGGTTCAGTTACAATCAGACACACTGACTAGGCTTTATGAAACTCTCTTTGATCAGGACTTTCCAATATTTATAGAAAACAAATGAAGAATTAGCTCTTTTTTTTTTTTTCATGAGGAAACGCTATTGAAGAATATTGTTTAAAATTTCCTTTATTTGATGCAAAATGTTCCAAGTACATCTGTAATCAAGTATTCTCCCACTTCAGAGGTCACAAAACTACATATATTATCCCTTACATCCAGTGAAGATGTTACCACACCCAAAAATAGATTATGAACAGATTTTTGGACTCCTGAAATTATAAAGACCAAATAGGATACTGCTTTTTACAGATCAGTCATAGTGCACATTTTTTAATATTACACAGATCTTGTCAAAAATTCTAATCCTACAACACAGATCACATTTTGTTCATAGACTACAGATGAGTTTGACCTCCATCTATTTCTTTCTCTCGAGGTTACCAGTTTTTTTAGCATCCAGGGATTTTGTACATCGAATGAACATCAAAAGACCAACCAAACGTAACATATTCCTTAGCTCTATCATTTCTCTGCCTTTTAACACAGATTCAGGTTTTGACATTTTAGAAGTATATTAATTTAATTTCCCTCTTTACTATGATGAAAATTTAGCTTAGTGCTACTTTGCTCACCTCTGAAAAGTTGGGGTTTTATTTGAGAGTAAAGTTTTTTGTCTTATTAATTTTCTTTGCTCTGAAATTCAATTCCCTAACCACAATCTCTGTGAAGCAGCTTTATTCTCAGCTCTTTTCTCTATCTTCCAAGATCATTGCAACTGCAATGGTAATTCATTGCCAAAATTCAGTGTACAGCATAATAAAGTCTTGAGCCACTAACTGCTTCTCCCAAAATAGAAATTTAGCTTTGAACTGGCATGGGGAGGTGACAAGGCAAATATATTCTGTATCAGGCAGAATCTGGGCATCATCTTCATTTTCAACTACAGAAGAAATCATACTAATATGCCCTGAAGGTGATAAATTAATTTTGGCTAGGTTCCTGTCTGAGAGGAAAGAACAATTTTCCTAATGAGATAAAGATGAAGGAAGACAAGGATCTCTAGGCACTTGGAATTTAGTCTGAGAGAGGCTCTAATAAATCAGGCTGTGCTTCTCTTTGTTTAAGGAAATACCTGTTAGGAAATCCGGGGCCTGTTTATTTTTCTCTGACAAACCTGATTTTCTTGGCAGTGCGCAAACTCAGAATCATAAATTGAAATGAGAATAAAAGCAGGTGGCCAAGTTCAAGTTTCAATTCTTTTTTTCATCTAAAATAAGTAAACAAATCCCAGCTGATGGGACTCAATTTACACAGATCTCCTGCTACTTGGAAACTTGCAATTCCATATCCAAAGCATCCACACCCAAATGAGCATATTTGCTTGGAAAAGTTGCATTAGAAAAACAAGAGAACACCAATACTCTCAACAAATGTGCACACTAAATACCAAGAGACCAGACAGGAGGGATCCAAAATCCCATGGAAGTAGCAATTGGAGAAGATGCAGCCCCTTCACTCAGTTCTCTTTGTGTGGCACACACTCCACAGACTTTGGGCAAGCTCATATTGTTAGCAGAGGATTGAGCACACGAACACTTCACTTTTCTGTAGAGCTGCTATAACTGCTGACAGCAGCAGAGCACCTCCTGCCCAAAGGGGTCACTCAGCTGAACACACACTGCTCCTGTATCACAGTCTCACTACAAAAGCTACAGCCTTCATTGGGCAGATTCTGCTTCACCAGTCTCTCACTTCAACCTCTGAGAAAAGACAAATTATTAGTGTCTTTGCCACTGCCTTTCGGGCAGAGTATTTTGGGACCTCTGGCAATCCTAAACTGACAGAGGCCCTGTCCCAAGTCAGTGAGGCTGCTGTGAAGGCAGCTGCCCCAGTTCCACTCCCCTGCAAGCTGTGCACTGCTGCCCCTCTGTTATGCCAAGTAAGGATATCATGCAGCCATTACGAACACAAAAATTTGGGCACTTGGGCAGGAGTACCAGAAAAGGCAGGACCATCCCCTCAGGAAGTTTACTCTTTGATCAAGACACAGTGAGTGTGCAACCATCCCTGGAGAAACCATCGTGTTGCCTGTGCTATACAGCTTCCATGTTCATGGGCAGCAGCACAGTCTCAGCCTGCCTCTGCCTAATTGCTGACAGACTAATCACTCTTTTAGGACAAGAATGCCAAAACCTGTATTTGTCAGATTTTAGATATCAATTTCAGGGTGTTTAAGAAAGGAAAGGTCATATTTAAATGCTAGGTTTAAAGTTACAATAGGCTAAGAAAGCAACCACCTCTGTGAAAAGACTGCTGTATTTCTGATCTAGACTGTGCACTGCACATTTCATCACAGAAGTTAATAAAAAGCTGCAGCCAGCATTTAGGTTATAAATTAAAATGTAATCAAACCTTTCAAGTTGCCTTGGATATTATAAAATTCTGTACCTGAAATACTCTTTATCTGAGGGATTCTATCTGCCATTACTCTGGGACTCCCTACACAACAAAACAGCTTTTTCCATGCCTGTCCTCTGAGACACCAGCAAGCGGCTGTCTCTCTAAACTCTAAAAGACAAAACAGAAAAGCTTAATTCCTCTTCTCCTCCCCTTCCCTTCCTGTGCCACAAGAGAGCTGCCATGCCCAGAGGGCAGCAAACCTTCTGACTTTGTTTTCAAGAGTGCAAATTTGCTTTCAGTAACACCGCTAAGATCCAGCACATGAGAAATTTTGTATCTTTGAACAAGCACACTATAGCAGCTGTGTGATTCTTGTGAATTCCAACAGGATGTGTATCTACCTCAGAGGTTTATTCAAACCATGACAAAAATTTAAAATGCATATAGCTGGAAAGGACCAGTATTTGAGGTCTACCTCTATTATCCTAGGCTTCTGGAATTTATTTTGCTGAAACGTTTTATCTAACCAATTTGGACAATAACAAAATAGCACAGTTAGGCATTTACTCACAACACACCTGTAGTGGATCAAGAAGCTTCTCTGGAAGGGCCAGGAACATGGTTCTTACCTTGCTCTCAATGAATGAAAGATAAATGACACCAGCTTCAGTCCCTGAGACTGCAGTGAGCTGCCACAATATTGTTCACTGCAACATTCATCTCATAGTATAATGATCCTAAAACCATATGACCACCACCAATTCCATGTGTTTTTGCTTTAGATGGAAGCTTGTACAATGTCCACATGGGCCACAGGAGATGGTATGCATTTAAATCAGTATCTCCTAGACTGATTTGCTCACACCAATGCAAGCTACTAATACTTAGGAATTCACAGTATACTGTAAATAGTAAAATCCATCTTGGAACTATTGTTTAAAAAATTCAATCAACTTCTCTAAATGCTAACCCAGCATTTCAAGGTTATTTTTTTAATCCTTCATTCCTTAAAGCAAGGATGAACAAAAATCTGTATCACTTCCCATTATTTTGGTTTCAACATATCACTGCTACTGTTTTAAATTAAATCTCTGGGTCTCCACAAGTAGGGGAATCAACTACACTTCAGACTGAAGCTCATCTTTTTGCCACATGACCACACCCATATTTACAGCTGCCACCAATAAAGTACTTTTTTACTGAAATCTGGATACATGTGTTAAAGAAATCTAGAGTGTTTCAGCCATTCAGTACAATTTCCCTCAAAGAGTATGGTATAATTGATACCAAAAGATTACTTAAATTAGGTTTACCAATAAGATTGCAGTTAGCAAGCAACATTAATATGTTCTATCATCTGTGGTAATACAAGTAGGACTTACAAAAGCAGTTCTGAATTCTACTTTAACCAACTAAAATACTGACCCTCAGTTCTGTAAAAACAAACAGGGCATACATTTGTTGGAAGATTTTCTTTGTCACACCACCTTTAGCAGTGGCAGCAAGGGGTTCTAGGCTGCTAATTGCATTCTATCCCATTAATGTTTAGAAGCTGACCTGAAAGAACAGGCCCAAACAGTTCTATTCTTTCTGTCCTGAATTCTGCTGTAGTCACACAAATTTACTCCCATGAAAAGCATCTGCCATATTTTCTGAGGGTTTTTTGTTTGTTTCTTTATTTGGTGGGACATCAGCACATGCATAAATGCTTTCCTGAATCTATGCCAATATGCTGTAAAATGACAATAACTTATGTACCACTTCCTAACATCATGCTCTTTGTAATGAAACTTGGAAAGCAAAAGTTGCTTCTCAGAAATAACCTACAAAAATGTATAAAAATCACAATTGTCAAACATTTTCCAATTCAGCTTTACTAAATGAAAAGCTTCAAAACAAACCCTTTTATTACAAACTTCTAAAAAGGAATGCACCTAATAGTACAAATTAATGGCTTCTAAATGGAGGATCAATATCTCATTGTATTTTACACAAAGACCTAAAACCCCATTGCTGTAACAATACAGAAAAAGAGAAAGGTTTACAGATCAGGTTACCTGTCTGATTTGACGTTTTTAATAGACTATACATCTGGCTACAGCCATTTCAGAGTCTCAATCACAATCATTAAAAGTAGAGATTAAAAAAAAGGCAGTTTATGACTTCTAAGCATTTACTACCATTCCATCAAAACTGAAAACATCTTTTAAAGGAGACATAAGCAGTTGACAATTATAAAGCAGCATTTTGGTGTTGCTCTATATCATGACAAATGACTTAGATTAAATGATACAGGTATTATCTTACCTGATACATTCCAACTCCTATGTGTTTGGGCTCAATTTTCACTAGCTCAGCTAATGGGTCTTGGACGCGTCTAGCTATAGAAACTGAAAAACAAAATCAGAAAATAGCTATCACTTTTCTCTGAAAAACCTGAATCATGTAATTGCTTTTGCTAAGGTCTTTTGGGTCTTTTTACATCTTCTATGCATTTAAATTTTTTTTTTAACCTGGAAATAGTCAATACTATAGCAGAATCCTTTTTCATTGCTAGACAAGGACGTCACATGTATATTAATCAAACTTTTTATTTGAGTAATTCCAGCAAAGACCTAGTAACATTTTAAACTGCAATCATGACATTTAAAAAGTTTTTCTGAGCCACAGAGTTAATAAACAAAACTGTGTACACTCTATTTTTCCCCTTTGTATCCATACTAAATGCACATGCAACATTTAACATTAAATGTTAGAACCTGTAAGAACCTTTAACCTGAAACCACAGATATGAAGAAACAAATAAACACTTTAAAAAAATAACAGTATCTGTTCACAGACTTACTTATTGAACACTTAGAGTATTTCCTCAGGTATGTATCAGATATCTATATATTTATCTAACTCAACCATTAAATTCAGTGCTCACTTCAAAAATGGTTCTTGGATTTTACTAATCTAATCTGCACACCAAAACACATCAATTTGCAATCTGTCACCCTTATAACCCCATTAAGAAAAACAAAAGCAATTTCCAACATTTCTGATATCATTAAGATCATATAGGAAGAACCTTTGGTCTTCTAAATCCAAATATTGAATCAAGACTGCATTTTTGAAGGCAGTATTTATTGAGAAACCAATTGCTTACCAAAATCTCAGAAGAAAAAACATACTTCCAAACATCAATTCATAAACTTGGTCTGATTCTGCAGATATTGGGTTGTTTTCAGTGTTTGCAACTGTGCTTCTTCCCACATGTATAAAACTAGAGGAGTTCTATCTACCAGTATTACATTTATAAACTTTTTTTCCTCCTGACTTAATACAAAACAAGTTAGCTGGCTCTTAATGTTCATTCTAATGAACTAATGTTCATTACTGAAGTAAACACTAATGAAAAACAGAAGTGTTTAGAGGTATTCCAAAAATCTTTCCAAATAAGGACCAAAGATTCTAAAAAAATCCAAACAAACAAGTAAAACTAAACTCCAAGAATACCACAAAGAGCAAAACCCAAAAGAAAAAAAACCCAATAAAACATGCCAACTCAAAAATTCAAAACAAAACAAACCCCTCCAAAAATAAAAAATAAACCAAACACAACAATGCCCGACCTTGTTGCCAAGGCTCTTTTTTCTACCACATGCACTTGTGAGATAAGTGCAATAACAAAAGTGGGACCAAAGAAAGCTAAGGGCCTTTAAAAGCTATGTCCACAATCAACCCTACAGCACACCTGTCATTTCAAGAATGTTTACATTTAAATACATTTTTAAGCAAATCAGGAGAGATTTAGAGGAAGAACAGACAGGAGTCAGGAGTAAATATATATATGCACAGTGGTTTGGTCAACAACACGCATAATGCTAAAAAAGGAATACTTAAAGTATATCTGGTGTTCACCAGCTGATTTCACACATACCCATATATGTATGAAAACATGAACATGGTTTTAATTATCATATATATAAAATAACCTATAAATAAAATAATATACATAAGCCCCTTTACTGCATCACAGCAGCAATGTATTCACTCACAGGGGTGTTTAGGTTGGACACACCTCTAGAGAACACAGGCTGCCTTCTCTAACAGCCCTGCTGGAACAGGGTTTGGTACAGGTTGTCCCAGATCATGTCCAGCTGTGTGGAGACTTCACAACCTGCCTGGTCAATCCATTCCAGTGCTGGGCCACCCTAACAATAGATAAATGTTTTCTTGTGTCCTGATTTAAGTTGCTGTGTTCCCAACTGCGCCCATTGCCTCTTGTCTTAACAGTGGGCTCTACTGAGAAGGGTCTGCTGCTCTCCTTCCTTCCCCCTCATCAGGTACTTAAAACCCTTTTCAAGATCCCCCTGAGCCTCGTCTAGGCAAAGCATTTCCATTTTTTTTTTGTTTTTCCTTGTATGAAATGTGCTCCAGTCCTTAACCATCCTTACAGCTTAATTTAATTAGCAACCTACTGCAGGGTGTTAAAGACTGCACAGCATTTCAGAAAAGGACTTGACTAAACATTTGTACTTGAAGCCAAAACAGTAGCCAGAGATATGCAGGCTCCTCAAACCACAACTGCAAAGTTTATCAATTAAATGTTGCACTAGAGACTTCACTTTTAAAGATTTGCACTGTTCAATGCACAGTTAACATGAAGTTCATTGCTCGGTCATGCAGGAGTTTTCATATCCTTTAATATCCATTTTAACATGCTGACAAAGGCAGTTTGCTAGCTAGGCTCAGAAAGCACTGTGCTGGTGACATCTGATATGCCTGCTTCTCTGATAGAGAAGTTCTGAATTCAAAGACAATCACGTATGCCCTCTTGTCAAAAAAAAAACCCCACAAAGTTAATCAGCGTAAGTACACCAGTTATAACTTACACAAGTACAGCTCACTGCCAAAATGCTTTCCTACAACAATAATTCATATTAATTACTTTGAAATACTAGTCACCCACCACCTGACAGACAAAAGTGAAACAAAACACCAATGAAAGTAGTATTGATCCAAACCAGGAAACACTTACAACAATGTATTTCTTCTGAATGCACTGATGCCTAAGAATAGAGACTATATTTGTCCTTCAGCAACCATCATTAAACTCAGCTTCTTTAATACCCATACAGTGTTTTAGAGAATTTTTTTATTTCGCTCTACCTAATGGCAAAACTTTCAGAAGTTACATTTTAAAAACAGACAACTACATGGATAGGTTGATACAGAAATTTTCCAAGCATAGCTTTCTCCTGGGAACCTTCAATTAAAAAGTAAAATTTAGACTCTTTTTATCGTATTAGCTTGGTTGACAATGCTGTCATATTCCCAGGAGACTTTGCTAGGAGTGGAGGCGTAGGACCTGATCCAGCAAAGCACTTCAGCACAGATGCATGTCAGAATTCCCACCGGAACAAGCACAACTATTCACACGCCTAAAGTTACAGAGACATTTAAGTGCTTTCCTGGATCAGGCCTCATAGTTACAATATTGAAGCAGGAAGATCAACTAACAGCCAGTTCCACAATTAAGGATGCAGCTCCATAATTTCACTCCATAATTTCACTCCAGAACTTTTCCAATTAATAGAGAGCACAGCAGGCAAAATGAAAGAGTTGTCCACATTCTCTCTAGGCAGAAATTCAGTCAAGATTAGCATCTACTGCCTCTTGTACAGACAAACCTGTTTATTTTTTGCTGGAGTAGTTGCACACTGCAACAGACAGATCTTTTCTGGGGGCAATGAGGCTCCACTCTGGCCATTTGACCCAAGTGGCTGGACCCTCACAAAACAGGTACAGTACTCCTGAAATCATGAGGGCTCTGCAGAAGTGTCAGATCTACTACCATGGAGCAGGGACAGTAAAACCTGATGGTCTGACATTTTCTTCTTAGAAACTATATCAAGACTAAATTTTGTAAAATTTATTTTTCATTTTCAACTATCTTACACAGGGTACATTTTAGAAACAATGCATTTCTAGAAGACTAACAATGAAATAGGTAATGCATTCTTACTTCTGTAGATATTAAGGTATTCTTCACTGTTGCTCAAGCAAAAAAAGATTACATGATATTATGATATGCAGGGCAAAACGAGAAAACCAGACCTCTCAGAAGTTATCAGCATGGCCACACATGAGAAGTTCGAGAGATGCTTTTATTAAAATATGCTAGTCTAAGTGAAATGTGGAAAACCCCCTAATCAATATTAAAGAGAGCATTAAAATCAGGATGACATGAGCCTCTATTAGAAAATCACCACAAGACTTGCACACTCCATAAATGCAAAGCTTGGAGTTGTGAATTTGGATGAAAATGTTATTGCAATACTTGGAAGGGCAGTAACATACTGTGCTGCCTTTCAATAAATGTATCTAAAATTTTAACACTTGAAGGGACAGAAGGGTCAAGGTGGTCCTCTGACTTTAATGTAGATGTATTTCACATTGAAGTGCAATGAGAAATAAAGTAGATTACAGCAAGCATATATACTGCAATCCTGTCCTGTCATTAGATAGGACATTCTGCCATTTTAGCAAAAAAGCAGTTTAACTGCTTGGAAGTCTCAATTCACTCCACACTCTGGTTATTTGACAAGACAAACCCAGCAGACAGTGGTGTGTCAGTGATGAAGATGCCATTGTGGCATCATATGGAAGAAAAGATCCATAAGAGCTGCTTGCACAGCTCATGCCAATCTCTGTGTCTGATCCTCACAGAAAGTGAGGAATTACATTAAAATGGTTTATTTTCTACTGGCTAATAAGCAGATATGGCCTCATGAACTAACAAACATGTGCTAATTATGTGGCTACTCCTGTCTTAAAGGTCAAATCCCTAATTTCAAACGGAAAAATTTAAAATTAAGACTATCTTCTTCAAACATACGTCACATAACTTTGTTTCTCTAGTAATTTCTACAGCAAGCAATAACATTTTTCACACAAATCACAGGAGAATGGTCACTCAGGAATACTGATAATAGTTTTCAGACTAAAGACAAAAAAAGACTTCCCACACTCAACAGTGAAGGGCCAAAACAACACAGCAGCATTACTATTTCTCTGCATGGCAACTATACAAGGGCCATGTCAGCTGCCAGCCCTAAAAAACTAGAATTAGTGCTAACTTCTTTGGCTACCTGCCTCCCTTCAGTAACAGAACAGGTCTAAAGCAATCTTTAAGACCCAAATCAGACACGCTGACTATTTAGGGTGCGAGGGCAGCTGGAAATCTTGTCAACTAGATGAAATTTATTATGGTTTCAAGTATTGTGCCTACTTTAGGGGCAGGCTGCCAAATGCTGTATTTACAACTACATATTGAAATGTTCTCTTTTTGCATTGCTTTATGTAAGAGCCACACCATAAAGCAAGAGCTTTAAGGCTTAGA